AGGATTAAGGTCACAAAGTGATGATTTCACCGAATGCTAACACACTGGTGAACAACTAAACATACGACCCAGCTACTTCATTGGGCACTACTTCAGGACAGCAAAGGGCTCCGTGATTTCGTAAAAGGTACAAACTGTGGCGTGGGACATTCTGTCTATGCATCGTATGTCTGAGGTGATTCGTACGCACAGGGGGTCGAAGGATTCTAGTCTCATTACGTCTACGATCCTCACGGCAAAGCTCTCACAATTACACCGGCGTATTATGGACTTCACTTTTCAGCACTTCAGGTTGAGCTGATGTTTTTTCCACAGCTGCTTGTGGGGCTGGAAAAGAGCAGCCTTCCTGCTGCTACTTTAGCAGCAATTTCATATTTCGACTGTCTTTGGGAAAGATGGAGCAATCATCTTGTTTGTGGGCTGAGACTGTTTCAAGGCGATCGCAGAGAGAAGGGGAGATTCAGTGGGGGAATATTTCTTTTGTTTCTGTTGCGTTGATGACTGGTCCCCATGTTGCAGCCAAGTATGGGTTCGTTTAAAGGTATGATGGTCAACATCATAGCTCGATGACATCATGAGGATACTGTAGGCGTACTTAAAATGACCAATGAGCGACCAGAACTAGATTCGTTGTCAGAGAAAAACTTCCGTGCCATTTGCATGATCCTATCTACGGAGAAGTTGAGTAACACTGAGGAAAGGATGCAGTTCTGACGGTTGTACGAAGCATGCCCGAGGTAAGTCAGAACACTTGCTCATATTCTGTTGTAATATGTCTTGATTAGGTTCAAAGGGTCCTAGGGAACGCCCTCCATTTTCATCATATGCCACAGGAAATTCTGATTAACAGAATCGAACGCTGGGAAGTTCATGAAGCATAAAACGATTATCTGCAGCAAACGACAATCGAGCTTGCAGCTTGCAGCAAACCGCGAAAATTTTGTACGTGTACAGTGTTCCACCACGGAGCCTGTCTGGTTTAATCTTGTATTAACTAGCAAGAAGTGTAAAGTAATGTTAATTAGATTTTTTCGCTGATAATGATGTACTTAAATTAGCTAACAATTTCTGTGACGCGTTGTGTGTTTCCCTCATATCTTTGCTTATGCAGAAATATCAAATCTGCTGTGTGTAAATAAATTCAATATGAGGCAAAATCTTGCTACTTACTTTGCTTCTTGCATTTCTTCCATTTTGCCAAGAATTTCAGTTTCATATTTTGCTCGCCACTGCTGGACTTCTGCATTGGCTCTTGTTAGATGTCGCTGGAGATCGGCTTTGTTGTCCGTTTCCTCCTCCAACTGGGCTTTCAGACAGTCGATCTGAGTCAGGGCATTGCGTAACTCGACAGAGAGGTTTTGCTTGGCCTGAAAATTCACTTCATGTATGAGGGATTCGAAAAAAGATGCTGCTAGTGCTTACTTTGTTGTCTTCATCGATAGAAGCTTGAAGACTTTCCAGCTGCGTCTCCAGCTGATGCTTCAAATGTTCGTTCATGAACAGTTTGGACTCCGCTTCTTCAAGTCTTCTTCCCAGGTCTTCGCCTTCTGCTACGATTCGAGAACGACTCGTTTCCACGTCTGTCAGTCTGCGATTCACGTCTTCCATTGCCAGCTGTGTTTCCACCAATTGAAGCTCGTACTGTTTGCTCTGCTTTTCGGCGTTTGCCCTCCTTTTTGACTCAGCGTCCGCAGCACATTGCGATTCGTCAACCTGATGCTGGAGAGAAGCCTTGTCCTTTTCGAGTCTGTAAGGAAAATTACTGAAAATGACATCCGACCGCGGTTTGCTTCCTTACCTCGCTTTTGACTTCTGCAAAGTCACAATTTGGTCGTTCAACTCCGCAATGGCATCGCTGCACTTCTTCCGAAGGGCAGCGAACTCGGTATCGTGCATCAGCTTCATTTCCTCCAACTCTCGCCTAAGCTTTGATAGTTCGAGCTCTCGGTTCTTCGCCACCTCGGTTTGGGCCTTAGTTAGTCCGCCCGCCTCATCCAACTGAGTAGTGAGCTCTTCGAGTTCAATCTGCATTTCCCCTCGGATCTTATCTGCCTAAACAAATATCAATTATTATTGGTAAGAAGGCTGACACTGACCCTGAATTGTGTTGTTCTAAGGTATTATTGTTAATAACAAAAACAAAGCACCGTACGGAGAGAATAGTGGAGAGAACATTCGCTCAATGGCTACTTCTTTGCCTTTCATCGCTGAGGGATCTGACTTCATATTCAGATGCATTGACGTTTTTGACTCTACAGCTAATCCTCTTTCGTGAAAAACCCACTTCAGTGCGCAACAATATTAACAGCTGCGACAAGCATAGAACTGAAAAAGGACCCCCTTTTATGCAGAACAGGGGTACAAGGTGGAGTGCGGTGTTAGTGAGTTTGAATCTGTATAATTGACAGATGTCAGTCTGTTTCGACTAACCAATTTACCTTCTCATGCTAAATACTGCATAACTACTAATATTGAGCTAATTATTGATATGTGATTTAAAAAATTGAAAGAATGATGTATGTAGGCATGGCGGACTTAATGACACTCGCAGTCATCACAACGAAATCATTAAAACATGCAAATCCTTGAAACTTGTTTGTTTCCAAGCTCCATCAGTCCGGGTCAAAACATCATCGCCTTCGATTAAAACATAAATGAATTGATAAATATAGATATAAAAACTAACATAACAGTACCAATGACGCTGATGAACCATATTTGTTGCGACATATCAGAAATGTCAGTTTTCAAGCAAGATACAAGCATCCCGTGCCTCAATTTCGCATCAGCTCACCTGAGAGCTGATAATTCAGCGTAATAATCAGAACGAGGTGTAACCCCAATTAGTACTAATATTATTGTTCCATCATTGCGCAATGACATAGCATCCGTTGCAATGCGATTAGAACGTTACGTGAATACCATTAATGTGTATCCTGTGGACCCTGAGATCAATAATATGTTTTGCATAATCATTTGCTGCTACCAATTAATGATCAAGCAGTGAGAGCTGTGTTGTAGATACGTCATTCTTGCTTGATACGTTCTTTCACGGAGATTGTAATACTGTACCTGCGATAGTCAAGTTTGTTTGAAACTTATTATTTGAATATACTACGGTTTCGACACACCCTGTGAAATTAATGACGATGGAAGGTTAACATGTTGCGTGTTGCTGGGCAACATTAGCTGGTTAGTTTGTCATGAGAAATGTTTCTCCTATTTCCGTGTACTAAAGTTATCAGTACCAATTCATTTATTCACAAACGGTGTCGATGCAACTGACTGATTGTTGATTGTGAATGTAAATTAATTGTCAAAATGAGATGCGGCAGGCTGTCCTCCATTAAAATAAATTTTCTGATATAAAATTTTAGCAAAAATAATTTATTTCTTCCTCATTAAACCCAAATAGTGTTTTGATTAGCCCTCTTGTTTATTTAAAAATGATCTAAATTACTCTTTATATTCGATAGAAACAGAGTAGCAACTGTCTATTCGAGTCAGACGTGAAGCACGACTGAATCAAATGAAGTTTCGGCAATAATAAACAGTCACTATTCGTCTGTAGCCTGAGGAATTTTATCGTTTTTGCAATGAGGCGAATTACATAATTAAACTGTTTGCGGCTTGAAAAGCCTATTAGAGCAGTGCATTAACATTTTTAAGATTCTTACTTTGACCCTGGCTTGTTCTGTTCGCTCCAGTTCTTCCTCCACTTCTTCTGTGCGACACTGGAGCCCCTTGATTGCACCTTGAAGTTTAATGACAACGTTCTGTTCTTTCTCTAAGCCAATCTGCACAGCTACCAACTGATCCTCCTTCCTAAATTTCAAGACATTACATACAAGCGTACAGGACATTTACACATAAAATATATAAAATTTCTCTGTCAAAACATATCTGCTGAAAAATTTAATCAAAAGTCCTCTGAACCAACAGAGAGAGCAGAAGGAAAGTAAGAAAAATATCTGGAAAACGTTGGACAAAAGTTGAAACGATATTCAATCATCATATTTCATTAATTTCATTATGTCAAGGACCACTGAATTATTAAATCTGTTGTATTAGTTAGCACTGAATCGAATGCTGTTTCAGAATACGGGTAAAAAAGAGGAAACAAATGTCTTTAATAACCAACCGACAGTTTGATTCGCCATGTGATTGATACGTGTAAGCCTGAACTGCTGAATTTGCTAAGTAACCCTTGACAATCACCTATGCTGAAGATGCTGACTAACTACATAAAATAAACTAATCATTATATTATCACTCATAACTCAATTTGTCTTACATTTCCTAATGGCTTTTCTTTAATCTATTTTTTATCCTATCTATTTCGATAAGTTTCTATATACCATTTCGTTGAATATGGAAAGTTCATCGAATCATTCTTGAATTGACTTCATTGATCTCATTTCTCGACTTTTGCATCACCTAAGGAATCTTATTTCCCCTTGGTTGTTTTTGTCCAATAAGCCTAGCTGCCGGCTATCTCGTCTTCCCTTTGTTGCGAACAGAGGACGTACGCCCATAGAATGTTTGCTGCGACAAACAAGTAGTTGCGGACAGGAAACGGTGACACGTCAGTGCGTGTCGAGGTTCGAGCTCGATAAGATCCTGAGGGAAAAACTCACAGTGCAAAATGACGATATCATGTACTGGCAGAAACAAACCCCACCCTCATCTGAAGAAAAGGGGCTGTCAATGTTCCCGCTGCTTTTCGGTTAGAAGTCGGTTCGCCGAAGAATATAAGAGACAATTTCGAAAAAAACCGGAAACAACTTGAGATTTACCTGTACGAAATTCCCAAGGCCACTGTTAGCCCATCCAAATAGGTGACAATGCTTGTTATGCTATGATGACACGAGTGAATGGTCTTCAGTAGCCTACATGTCCACCTGCTCTGTAGCGGCGGTTCAATATTCGACTTACGAGACGCTGCTAAGAATTCCAAGTGAAAAACCGCCTTCTGCTAATAAGTCCTTAATTCCCTCACCGAGGTACGAGCAGTGGTGAGGTAAGGAATGTTAAACCAACCAACCAATACAAGAAAGGTCACAGATGGTCTGTGATATCTTTGGGCTCTGCGAGACAAGACATGACGACAGAAGAAAAATGAATAGCATATTAATTATCTCAAGAAATTAGCTGGATTTTGCCAGGCAGAGGAGAGGACAAGAAAAAAATATGAGGAATCTGATTTGCAGTCAGCGAAAGCTTTTAATCCAAACTCTACTTCTGCCATGTGACGTCACCAAAACTGGGTGTATTGCGCCTCTAGCTGAACAAGTAGAGAACCTTGAAAGTCGTCCAAATTCCTGCTTCCACAAGTGTAGCTGACAAGATGGAACCTTTGAACAATTCTACAAAGAGCTGAAACACGCATTGGTCGCAGATTCCACATAATGCCATTGTCATAAGAGACTTCATTGTTAAGGCAGCATGAGGAAGGACCGGTGATAACTCTGTCGTTAAGTACGGCACCAGAAAGCAAAATGAGGGAGAATATCAAATGACAAAAACGAAATAATTGTGCATTCGCAACAACTGATTCAAGAAGAAAAAGACGAAAATTAGGACGTACACGCGGATCGCACCAAACGTAGCGGTAAAGAAAAAGATTGATTTCGTGATGCTCGATAAACGCCGTATTTTCAAGGAAATATCAGTACTGCAATCGTTCAACACCAGAAGGGAACAAGGACTGATGTGGGCAAGACAATCACATTCCTTCCAGGACAAGAATTTAGATAAAACATAGCCGATGGCAAATCTCAGAGAATGGCCAAGAGTATTTAACGAGGCGCGACTCCAAGGCCGTATTTTCAGCGAAGATCGGAGGAAGAAAGGTAG